ATCCCTAGGTACCTTACCCTCTTTCATACATTTATTAAATAATTGCACCAACCACTCCAAAACTATATCCCCACCTGCTTTTAACATTTCTATCTTTATCCCATCAATCCCACCTGCCTTACCCCCCTTCATTTTACCTACTGCCTCAAGAACTTCCCCACACTCACAACTGGCTCTTCCTCACTCCTACAAGATGTTATTCCTCCTTGCCCTATACATGAAATCACAGCTTCCCTATCTTCATCAACATTTAACAATTCCTCAAAATATTCCCTCCATCTTCCCAGTACCTCTAACTCTCCATTTAATAACTGCCTCCACCACTTCCTCAACCACTGTGAATCCCTACTACCCTCCCTCCGACCCCCGCAACTGGCAGCCAGCCCTCCCACCAATGTGGTGTTTTGTTTGTTCATTATTTGCTATTAAACTACAGTATAAATAATGTAAACCTATTCATGACTGCATATTGGAATGGCTGTTCGGACAGGTATTGGACGGTGACATCATGTGTTTACTCTTGAGCACAGCAAAGAATCAAACATTTCTGCTACAGCTAATAATAACAATAGTAATAATAATAATATAATAATAATAATAATAATATAATAAAATAATTAATAATAATAAATACGTTTAGCAATTGTAAGAGGAAATGTACAAAATCGAGGGGTGAAGCAATAGTGGAGGGAGTGGTTGACTCATCATCAGTGTGGCTTTGTTTATGCTGGAGTGAGCATTAGTCTCCGTGCTCTTCCAAACATTTCACAATAATTCATTGTGTTTGGTGCTTGTAGATTGAGCGTGACTGGAGTGGTAGAGGCAGTGGTTGAGGCAGCGGTTGAGGCAGTGGGTTGAGGCAAACAGTGAGGCAGTGGGTGAGGCAGCAGTTGAGGCAGCGGTTTAGGCAGCGGTTGAGGCAGTGGTATTTAATAACATATATGTCATAAATAATAATAGTACATATTATTAATAACATTTATTATTATTATTATTAATAACATGTATTATTATTATTATTATTAACAACATGTATGTTATTAAATACCATTGCCTCAACCGCTGCCTCACCCACTGCCTCACCCACTGCCTCACCCACTGCCTCAACTGCTGCCTCAACCACTGCCTCTACCACTCCAGTCACGCTCAATCTACAAGCACCAAACTCAGTGAATTATTGTGAAATGTTTGGAAGAGCACGGAGACTAATGCTCACTCCAGCATAAACAAAGCCACACTGATGATGTGTCAACCACTCCCTCGTATTTTTGTACAATTTCCTTCTTCAGTTCTATTGTATTTATTATCATTATTATTATTATTATTATTATTATTATTATTATTATTATTATTATTATTATTATTATTATTATTATTATTATTATTATGGTTTAGATAAAGAAAAATTGGATATCAAATTGGGGAGGAGGAGTATGGTAGAAGTGAATGTTTTCAGATACTTGGGAGTTGACATGTCGGCAGATGGATTTATGAAGGATGAGGTTAATCATTGAATTGATGAGGGAAAAAAGGTGAGTGGTGCGTTGAGGTATATGTGGAGTCAAAAAACGTTATCTATGGAGGCAAAGAAGGGAATTTATGAAAGTATAGTAGTACCAACACTTATATGGGTGTGAAGCTTGGGTTGTGAATGCAGCAGCGAGGAGGCAGTTGGAGGCAGTGGAGATGTCCTGTCTAAGGGCAATGTGCGGTGTAAATATTATGCAGAAAATTCAGAGTGTGGAAATTAGGAGAAGGTGTGGAGTTAATAAAAGTATTAGTCAGAAGGCTGAAGAGGGGTTGTTGAGGTGGTTTGGTCATTTAGAGAGAATGGATCAAAGTAGAATGACATGGAGAGCATTTAAATCTGTAGGAGAAGGAAGGCGGGATAGGGGTTGTCTTCGAAAAGGTTGGAAGGAAGGGGTAAGGGATGTTTTGTGGGTGAGGGGCTTGGACTTCCAGCAGGCGTGCATGAGCGTGTTTGATAGGAGTGAATGGAGACGAATGGTAGTTGGGACCTGACGATCTGTTGGAGTGTGAGCAGGGTAATATTTAGTGAAGGGATTCAGGGAAACCGGTTATTTTTATATAGCCGGACTTGAGTCCTGGAAATGGGAAGTACGATGCCTGCACTCTAAAGGAGGGGTTCAGGATGTTAGCAGTTTGGAGGGATATGTTGTGTATCTTTATACGTATATGCTTCTAAACTGTTGTGTTCTGAGCACCTCTGCAAAAACAGTGATTATGTGTGAGCGAGGTGAAAGTGTTGAATGATGATGAAAGTATTTTCTTTTTGGGGATTTTGTTTCTTTTTGGGTCACCCTGCCTCGGTGGGAGACGGCCGACTTGTTGAAAAAAAAAAATTATTACTATTGTTATTATTAGCAGTAGCAGAAATGTTTGATTCTTTGCTGTGTTCAAGAGTAAACATATGATGTCATCGTCCAATACCTATCCGAATAGCCATTCCAATATGCAGTCATGAATCGGTTTACATTATTTATACTGTAGTATAAATAATGTAAACTGACTGGCTGCCAGTTGCAGGGGTCGGAGGGAGGGTAGTAGGGACTCGCAGGTGGCGGGAAACTTAAATATGATTTGGCAGCTGGGAATTTGGAGGCTGGGAATTCGCGAATGTGTGAAGCCCCCCGAAAGTTGAAAACGCGAATGTTGAGGGAGACCTGTACATATCATTACGTATGTGGCTAGTGGTGGTGACAGCGGCCATTGTTGTTATTGGGGTTTATAGGGCCACCACAGCGGCCATTTCTGCTCCTGACTACATGTGTAGAGAACCTAGGATAACCCAGAAAAGTCAGACAGTGTGACTTTTAATTGCTACACTCTTAATGCTGCACTTTGTCACTGACTCCTCCTGCTTTAGTATTGTACATATCGTAAAGTGGTATGCTGGTACTGCCTGGCCAAGTCCTTAACCCTCCACCTAGTTTGTTTATCTGTGATTTCTTGCTTTTATTCCGTGGAAATCATTTTCTTTTTCTTCTCAGCATTGTCCTTTGCACTTGCTTTTTTAGGACCCATGGTTAGAAAGAAGAAACTTCACAAAATAGCTGCACGAAATGTAAGAAAAACATGAGAATTCCCTCCACCGTAAGTGGAGTGAATTGCCATTTTGTGGTGGCGTTCGGACTCTCACTCATAGTATACAGTACAACAAGGTCTGCCGTTGCTGTTTCATGTTGTCTGCCACTGCTGCTTCATGATGTCAACCACTGCTGTTTCATGTTGTCTGCAACTGCTGTTTCATGTCTGCTACTGCTGTTTCATGTCTGCCACTGCTGCTTCATGATGTCTGCCACTGCTGCTTCATGTTGTACCACTGCTACCTCATGATGTCTGCTCCCACTTTTGCTAGCATGTTGAAGAGCTTTCCAATATGTGAAGGTTGGGGGGCAGTGCCAATTGGACAGGTATTGGACGGTGACGTCATTTGTTTACTCCTGAACATCGCCAAAGAATCGAACATTTCTGCTACTTTGAGCTCAATTTCATGGTACTTTTCGTCATGAAACAAATCAAAATCATATCTATTTCTGTAGTATATCTTCCATTCTATCAAATGAGACCAAAAAAACGAGAATACAGCCATAAAAAAACCATACGAAAATATACCGCTAAGGGGAGGCTAATGGCCAAGAAATGAACTCCGTTATTTATGGTCCGATTTCTTTCATTTATGGTGTACATTAAGAAGCATCTTTCCATCATGCATTGTCCAAGTTTCAGTAAGATAGTCCAACAAACAGCTGAGATCCAGTTCCCTAGATCAAGAGCAAGAGCCCCTCACCAGCGTCAAGGAACCTCCCTTGAGGCCTGCTCGCATCTGGAAATTTCATTCACATATGGAAGCAAAAAATCAACTGAGTGACTGCTTGTATCTGGAAAAACTCGCATGCGGATGCACTCGTAAGTAGAAACTCCACCGTATATGTTAGTGTAAACTTGTTATCTGGTGTTTATATGCATTTATAAGTGGAAAAAATGGTGTTCTGCTTTGCGGCGGTAGCCTGGACCCTAACCTGCCGTATAAGTGGGGCCCTAATGTATACATGGAAAAATGGACTAGAGCTGCAGTACAGCATACAGTACAGTTCAGATGTATAGGGCAGACAGCAGCTGGACTGTCCCAGAGAAGGAGGAAAAAATGAAGGAGTAGGGGGAAGGAGAGAAGCATAAAGAGACATGGGGATTGGAGATTGTATGTAGTGTGGAAAGGTAGTGATGAATAAGATTGTGTAATGTAAGTTACTGTGTGAGCTGCTGTTCTGCACCTCACCCACTGAACATATGTAGTACCAAGAGCAGCCAGCAGCAGTTATCACAGCCCAGCCAAACAACATAGGTAATTATTTAATCACCAGTTCTTAGCCAGTATCTGCTAAAAAAAAATTCACACATGCATAAAAAAGAATATGCAGTATTCAAAATACCAATGCATTTAGTAAACAGCTATTCAGGAAAAAATAATGCTCTAATTATAATTCAGCCTTAAGAAAAGAGAAGAGTAAATGTTAAATTTAAGAGTTCTTGACCAATCCCTGCTAAACAAATGTGAGCTCTCTACACATGCACAAAATGAACATTCACAAAGAATTAAGGCATTTGGTAGAAACAACGGAGAAAAAATTTATAAAATAATTTGAGTTTTTGCAGTGCAGATCAGAGTTCTAATATCCTAAGTACAGTACATTGTATGTTGAGGCCTTACTGTAATTAATTTATCCTTTTTGTCTTCTTATATTTTTTATTTGGATTTTCTCTTTATCTTTTCTTCATTAATTCAAACTGCATTTAGCAGGCAACTCACTAACTCATATTAAATTGTTCAGTATTACTCTTACACGGTTTTTTGTTCATAGCCTCAAATAAGTGTTTTTCTCAGTGATGTTATAGTAACTGAGTTTGTAAAAATGACACTCAACAGTAAGACTGCTTAATGATGTCCCAGTGTTACAATATACCTTGTCTTTTCACAGGAATTGGGTGTGCCAAAATGTGAGGTGCTTCAAATAGCCATAGTGTGTGCAGGATACAATTCTTCACGATCAGTAGTGACACTCTTCAAGTCTCTCTTGTTCTATCGTCGTAATCCACTTCACTTCCATATGATTGCTGATGCCAAAGCTCAGGTTGTCTTGCATACGCTTTTTTCATCATGGAATGTTCCTCATGGTAATTTTTTTTTTTCTGGTTTAACTGTATTTCATGCAGTATTAAAGAGTTTGTGTACATTCTTTCAGTAACAGTAGAATCTCAGGAAGTCAAACTTGGTGTCACAAAATCTGCTTGTTTGAAAATAATGCAAATGTAATACTCTGCGCATGTGTCTTAATTTCATCTTGTCGGTATTATATACCATTCTTGTACTACTACTACTACTACTACTACTATACCACACCACCACCTCTTCCTACCTATATATAGTCGTCCTGCTCCACTTCTGGTTAGTGTGACTTTGTCAGTGGTCCAAGTCGGACCGAAACGTCGTCGTAAGCTTCTCTGTTTTTTGTGCGGGTTATTTGTGTATCGTTCCATTCACGGTATTGTGCATTTTTTTGTTATTTATGTAATACTCTGGCAAAGTTTGATAACCTTAATTTTTTGGAAGACTTGGCATAGCCATCTCGGTCCTGTGTTAAATGTATAAAGATAGGAAAGTTTGTTAACTTTAATTTTTTGGAAGACTTGACATAGCCATCACAGTCTATGTTCAATGTATAAAGATGTGAAAATCAATTACAAAAAGATTATGAATTCTTTAGTTTTCATTGAGGACAACTAGGCATAATTCTGTCTCTGAGCCACCACTATATACCATGCTCTTGGCATTTCTTCAAGTTACATGCTAAATTATATGCTCTTTCATTCTACATTATGTGCTCACACTCAAAAAGTTGCACAACTGACAATGATTTTGGCATATTAAACATGCTGTTATATTGGGCTGCATGATGATGATACACAATTGTACCAAATATTGTATTCCGAATCTAGGGCCTCATCTGCCTCAAAGTTTTATTTCAACTCTTTTTAAAGTTTAATTTTCCAAGATCAATCTGTGCTAGAGCTGTTGAGATACCATCTTAACTTTAGGAATGGGAAAGGGTGGGGCTCCATATTTGTTACTCTCAATGATCTGTGTTCTTACAAGACTCTGAAATAGTAGGGGAATTGGAAGTAAAATACTAGTATCAGTATGTAATAGTAAAACATGTAATAATAGAATCCCCAAGGGACTGCAAGCAACAGAGGTTTAATTTTATAGGATGGGCAAGATAAATTAATAGATTGTTTGGCAGAATTAATATATTGAAGGTAAATGTGGTATTATGTAAAAAATTATTAGGCATAATGTAGATGTAGCGTTTACACAGCATAATTTATGCTCAGAGAAGAGACAGAAAATGTTTAAGTGAGAATGTACAGTATTAATGGCTATGTTCATGAGTACTGGGAATGTGAAAATGGAAGTGGAAAATATCTATTGTAAAAGAGAGATTTATAAATTGAATGTCCAAGGATTATAATATGCAGATGAGATTTTGAATTATTTTAGTAACTGATAAAAGTTTGTGCACAGTCTGTTACTTATTTGTTATATTCTGTTGTATGCAGTATGTTAATGCATACTGCATGTTGTGGGAGATTTAGCTTTGTTAGCTAGGTAGATTCAGTTCAGTAACTTTAATACAGTATCTCATTCTTTACAGTTGAGGTGAGCTTTTATTTAACGGATAATTTAGCTGCCGATATCTCATGGGTTCCAAACAAGCATTACTCTGGAGTGTTTGGGCTCATGAAGCTTACTCTCAACAAAGCTCTTCCATCATCACTCAAGAAAGTTATTGTTTTAGATACAGATATTACAGTGGCTACAGACATTGCAGAACTGTGGAATCTATTTTCAAAATTTGGACCAAAACAGGTGAGAAAAGTTTGTTTCAGGAAAATTTACAGTTTCATACAGTCTTCTTGAATAAAATATGTTGGCATGTCATCAAATATGCATTCTAAATTTTACTTAAGGGTTTTATTGAAAAGGCCAGCTTGTTTCCAAGCATAATTTAAGAATGTTTCATTAGATTAACTTAAGATAGGTAGCATTTGTTTGTCCTCTCATTTTGTTAAGTTTCCAGAGTCTGTAGTATATGCTACTTCCATTTGCACTGCACTCTGGTTTTTTTTTTTTTTTTTTTTTTTTTAACATGCTGGTCATCTCCCACAGAGGCAGGGTGACCCAAAAAAGAAACACTTTCACCATCATTCACACATAATCACTGTCTTGCAGAGGTGCACAGATATGACAGTTCAGATGTCACTCCAAACAGCAGACATCCCAAACCCCTCCTTTAACCCTTTGAGGGTCGACAGGCCCTCTCCGAGACTTCTTCTCAGGGTCGGCCAAATTTAAAAAAAAAAAAAAAATTCTTACGAAAAGATAGAGAATCAATTCCTGATCATAATGACACCAAAAGTATGAAATTTGATGGAAAACTCACGGAATTATGCTCTCGCAAAGTTAGCGGTCTCGACGATGTTTACACATCAGCGATTTTGCCCACTTTGAGCCCTATTTTCAGCCAATTCCAGTGTACAAGTCAACAAAAATCATAACTATTTCTCTAGAACTCCATTTTTTCTATTGAATGAGTACAAGAAACCACCCATTTACTGATTTCAACTATCCAATACAGTGGTCAGAATTTAGCAATTTTGCCAATTTCACACAAATTTCAAAAGATCCCAATTTCCAAATAGGGTCCAGAATAAACAAGAAAGACATTCCTGGCACTAAAATAACATTTCCTCTGTTCGTTAGTCACATTCCCAGGCCCCTCTTATATTTCTTTGGCTTTCCACATTCAATTTTTATTCTTACAAAAAATAGAAAATTTACTGTTATGCAGACTGCTGCATTAGTGTAGAAATGATATAAATAATATCAGCGCACTTGTGAAAGAATATTAGACTCACCAGTTGATGTGTATTGGACGCTTGGCATGATTTGTTTACCTTTGAACTTTGGTAAAAATTGAACATTTCTGGTACTTTGAGCTCAATTTCAAGGTACTTTTCATTGTAAAACCAGTCAAAATCATTTCAATTTCTGTAATTTGTCTATCATTCTATAAAATGAGACCAAGAAAACTAGAATACAACAATAAATACCATACGAAAATACAGTGCAAAGTCGCTGTTTAATTCCAAAAACACTGTCACAATTTTTTTTTCTCATTATGCACTGTGTGCTGCAGGATTTTTTTTTATACTGCGCACACTGAACCACATAGACCCATTCTTTCATATGTAGGCCTACCAGCTTTCTCCCACTAGATTTGAGGGCGCTAGAATTTAGGTGTACTAGTACGTCAAAAACCCTGGGTCGTAAGCCGTAATAGTACGGCCGAAACCCTCAAAGGGTTAAAGTGTAGGCATTGTACTTCCCACCTCCAGGACTCAAGTCTGGCTAACTGGTTTCCCTGAATCCCTTCACAAAATACTGCTGTATGTTCAGGCCCCTTGCACTCAAAACCTCTTTTACCCCCTCCCTCCATCCATTCCTTTACTTTTTTTTTTTTTTTTTTTTTTTTTTCTCAACAAGTCGGCCGTCTCCCACCGAGGCAGGGTGACCCAAAAAAGAAAGAAAATCCCCAAAAAGAAAATACTTTCATCATCATTCAACACTTTTACCACACTCGCACATTATCACTGTTTTTGCAGAGGTGCTCAGAATACAACAGTTTAGAAGCGTACACATATAAAGATACACAACATATCCTTCCAAACTGCCAATATCCCAAACCCCTCCTTTAAAGTGCAGGCATTGTACTTCCCATTTCCAGGACTCAAGTCCGACTATATGAAAATAACCGGTTTCCCTGAATCCCTTCACTAAATATTACCCTGCTCACACTCCAACAGATCGTCATGTCCCAAGTACCATTCGTCTCCATTCACTCCTATCTAACATGCTCATGCACGCTTGCTGGAAGTCCAAGCCCCTTGCCCACAAAACCTCCTTTACCCCCTCTCTCCAACCCTTTCGAGGACGACCCCTACCCCGCCTTCCTTCCCCTATAGATTTATATGCTTTCCATGTCATTCTACTTTGATCCAGTCTCTCTAAATGACCAAACCACCTCAACAACCTCTCTTCTGCCCTCTGACTAATACTTTTATTAACTCCACACCTTTTCCTAATTTCCACACTCCGAATTTTCTGCATAATATTTACACCATACATTGCCCTTAAACAGGACATCTCCACTGCCTCCAACCGTCTCCTCGCTGCTGCATTTACTACCCAAGCTTCACACCCATATAAGAGTGTTGGTACTACTATACTTTCATACATTCCCTTCTTTGCCTCCATAGATAACGTTTTTTGACTCCACATATACCTCAATGCACCATTCACCTTTTTTCCCTCATCAATTCTATGATTAACCTCATCCTTCATAAATCCATCCGCCGACACGTCAACTCCCAAGTACATGTATCTGAAAACATTCACTTCTTCCATACTCCTCCTCCCCAATTTGATATCCAATTTTTCTTTATCTAAATCATTTGACACCCTCATCACCTTACTCTTTTCTATGTTCACTTTCAACTTTCTACCTTTACACACATTCCCAAACTCATCCACTAACCTTTGCAATTTTTCTTTAGAACCTCCCATAAGCACAGTATCATCAGCAAAAAGTAACTGTGTCAATTCCCATTTTGAATTTGATTCCCCAAAATTTAATCCCACCCCTCTCCCGAACACCCTAGCATTTACTTCCTTTACAACCCCATCTATAAATATATTAAACAACCATGGTGACATTACACATCCCTGTCTAAGACCTACTTTTACCGGGAAGTAGTCTCCCTCTCTTCTACACACCCTAACCTGAGCCTCACTATCCTCATAAAAACTCTTTACAGCATTTAATAACTTACCACCTACTGTATATATTTATCACTGCAGGATTACTGTCCTATGACTGTCACATACCTCTCCCACCCTTGCAGTCTGCACTGCAGACCTGTGGTTATTTCTTTAGGGCTGAAGAATCCATTCATGATGAAATGTTTTCTCAAAATATCCTAGCACTTCACATATGTCTTATTTCACTATTGTCAGTATTTTACATCAGCTTGAACCAGAATAAGTAAGTGCATCAAATGATGTTACATAGAAAATATTGTTTTGAGGAAAAAATAATGATAGTAATTTGTAGTAATATGCAGGGAATTCTGACACGAGCCATGAACCTTTGACAAGCTGATGCACGTGTTGAATGACCATCTCTATTTGTTTTAGTTTTTAAGGATAAATTTATTATCATTAGCTTATGTTGTAAATTGTATTTGCTTATAATGCTGTAACTGCAAGTTAGGGTTCATTTCCTTACAGTGTTTCTCTGATTTCAAAAGTAATTTATTTTTGCTTGGGACAGTATATTGGCCTGGTAGAAAATCAAAGTGACTGGTACTTGGGTAAGCTGTGGAAGTCTCATCGCCCTTGGCCGGCTCTTGGTCGAGGGTAAGTCTGTCTGTTTGTCTGTTGGTAAGGTTCATAGTGTTATATATACAGATGTTAAAGGAGTTATGTTAATAATATAATATTCTACTTAGGTACAATATTTGCTTGGTTTGTTCGTATGTCAACATTGTATAATTCAGTGTGTTCTAATTTTTATTTTTCAAATGACCTCTTTTTAAAATTTTAATAAAAAGAAATTCCCGTAGTTATAACACTGGTGTCATTCTCATTCGGTTGGATGTCATGAGGAGAAGTAACTGGTCTCAAAAGTGGAAACTAATAGCAGAAAGGGACTTGACAACGCTCTTCTCCACCCAACTTGCTGATCAAGATATAATTAATGCTGTTATCAAGGTATGATCTTGGGTATATTTTACTGTTATTGTATATAGATAGAAGAATTTTTTTTCAGGAAATAGTGGAATACTTTTCTAGTGTGTCTATCCTCATTACTATTTACTTGTCTAGATATTCACATTTCTTTAGGAAATATGTACTACTATTATATTGATTTTTTGTGTTCTTTGTTAAAATTCTTTTCTTTAGCTTGTGTTTCCCAGTTGAATTAATAATAAATAATATTAGTATGGTACAGTATATTAACTTTTAAACAGATTTAGCATGAGATATCTTAAAAGATATGCACTTTGATATTGCCATATACATGTATATCTGTCTTTTTCAGTGGTTTTGTAATTCTTTTTCTGTGCAGGACTTAAAGAAATACAGTATCAAAATAAGTTTCACATAAATTCTTGTTTTCCATGTCCTTACAAGCAAAATGCCTTGGAAGATGTTACTTTATTATTTGAAACTGTACTTTAAATTGAATACGAATAATGGTGTCATTGATGTCAGTGATGCCAGCTAAATAAAAAGATGGCTAGAGAAGGTTATATTAGGGTTTCTTTCTGGTACTTAAAACCCTATTGAATACCTGCATAATCAAACACCTCCTGCTTGAATAATTATATATAAAATATAAAGAATTTAACAAAGTGGGTGTTGTCACAGTTGCTCTTTGCTGATGACACTGGGCTTTTGGTAAATTCTGAAGAGAAGTTACAGAGGTTGGTAGGGTATGTAAAAGAAGAAAATTAAAAGTGAATATAGAAAAGAGTAAGGTGATGAGGATAACAAAAAAATTAAGTAACAAAAGATTGGATATCAGATTGGAGGGAGAGAATATGGAGGAGGTGAATGTATTCAGATATTTAGGAGTGTTCGGGAGAGGGGTGGGAATAAATTACGGGGAATCAAATACAAAATGGGAATTGACACAGTTGCTTTTTGCTGATGATACTGTGCTTATGGGAGATTCTAAAGAAAAATTGCAAAGGTTAGTGGATGAGTTTGGGAGTGTGTGTAAAGGTAGAAAGTTGAAAGTGAACATAGAAAAGATTAAGGTGATGAGGGTATCAAATGATTTAGATAAAGAAAAATTGGATATCAAATTGGGGAGGAGGAGTATGGAAGAAGTGAATGTTTTCAGATACTTGGGAGTTGACGTGTTGGCAGATGAATTTTTGAAGGATGAGGTTAATCATAGAATTGATGAGGGAAAAAAGGTGAGTGGTGCGTTGAGGTATATGTGAAGACAAAAAACGTTATCTATGGAGGCAAAGAAGGGAATGTATGAACGTGTAGTAGTACCAACACTCTTATATGGGTGTGAAGCTTGGGTTGTGAATGCAGCAGCGAGGAGGCAGTTGGAGGCAGTGGAGACGTCCTGTCTAAGGGCAATGTGTGGTGTAAATATTATGCAGAAAATTCAGAGTGTGGAAATTAGGAGAAGGTGTGGAGTTAATAAAAGTATTAGTCAGAGGGCTGAAGAGGGGTTGTTGAGGTGGTTTGGTCATTTAGAGAGAATGGATCAAAGTAGAATGACATGGAGAGCATTTAAATCTGTAGGGGAAGGAAGGCGGGGTAGGGGTTGTCCTTGAAAAGGTTGGAAGGAAGGGGTAAGGGAGGTTTTGTGGGCGAGGGGCTTGGACTTCCAACAGGCATGCATGAGCGTGTTCGATAGGAGTGAATGGAGACAAATGGTATTTGGGACCTAACGATCTGTTGGAGTGTGAGCAGGGTAATATTTAGTGAAGGGATTCAGGGAAACTGGTTATTTTTATATAGCCAGACTTGAGTCCTGGAAATGGGAAGCACAATGCCTGCACTTTAAAGGATGGATTTCGGGATATTAGCAGTTTGGAGGGATATGTTGTGTCTCTTTATACATATATGCTTCTAAACTGTTGTGTTCTGAGCACCTCTGCAAAAACAGTGATTATGTGCGAGTCAGGTGAAAGTGTTGAATAATGATGAAAGTATTTTCTTCTTGGGGATTTCTTTCTTTTTGGGTCACCCTGCCTCAGTGGGAGACGGCCGACTTGTTAAAAAAAAAAAAAGTGTCAGCAAATGAGTCTGTAAAAGATGAGGTGAATTGACAAGGGGAAAAAGGTGAGTGGTGCACTGAGGAGTTTGTGGAGACAAAGAACTTTGTCCATGAGAGCAAAGAGGGGAATGTATGAGAGTATTTATTTATTTATTTATTTATTTATTTAAAAATTTGTGCACACATACAGAGGTACAAAAAATACAGAAAAGAGCAGTATGCCAAAGCCACTTATACTATGCATAGCATTACGGGCTGGCTTAAAATTAACTTAAGATGAACTAAGCAATGATGACATCGGTGATAAAACTTTAATGTAAACAGATTACTATAAAACACAAGTGAGTATTACAAAGACAGGTCATATGGTTGTATGCATTGTTGTACATTCAGTAGAATGGAGTATTCTGTTAGGTAGTGTATTTAAAAAATAATAAAGTTAGATTGGGTTTTAGGTTTAACATTTATGTGATATAATTGTGAGAAACATTTTAAGATATACAATTTATAAGGTTCAGTTATTCAGTATTTATTTGGTTTTGGGTGAGTAAGTGATCTTTGAGAAGAGACTTGAATTTATAAACAGGTAGTGTTTCTTTTATATTTACAGGTTAATGAGTTCCAGATTTTAGGCCTTTTATGTGCATTGAGTTTTTGCATAGTGTGAGATGGACACGAGGAACATCAAAGAGTGATCTGTGCCTTGTGTTATGGTCATGTGTTCTGTTGAGGTTGGCAAGGAGATGTTTGAGGGGAGGGTTAATATCAGAGTTAAGTGTCTATGTATGTAATAGGTGCAGTAATAAGTATGAATGTTTTGGGATGGTGAATAGGTTTAGTGTATTGAATATTGGTGGAGTGTGCTCCCTATAGTGAGAATTTGTTATCATTCTAACTGCAGCCTTTTGTTGGGTAATTAGTGGTCTGAGATGGTTACTTGTTGTTGAGCCCCATGCACAAATTCCATAGGTGAGATAGGGGTAAATAAGAGAGTGATATAGGGCCAGGAGGGCTGACTGTGGAGCATTAGTACCGTATCTTCGATAGTATGCCTACAGTCTTGGAAATTTTCTTAGAAATTTGTTGTATATGTGTATGAAATTTGAGTCTATTATCAAGGTGGATTCCTAAGAATTTTCCCTCTGTTAGCTTTGTGATAGGTGATCCGTTTATCATTATGTTAAGAGGGACATCTGTAGCTCTGTTACCAAACTGAATGAAGTAGGTTTTGTCAATTTTAGTGTAAGTTTGTTAGTCCTCATCCAGGTAGATATTTTCTGTAATTCTGTATTTACAGTATTGGCTAGCGTGACTGGGCTCGGGTGGGAGAAGACGTATGTAGTGTCATCTGCAAATAGTGTGGGTTTGAGTAATTGCGAAGCATTTGGTAGGTCATTTATGTATAGGAGAAAGAGAAGAGGGCCAAGGACACTTCCCTGTGGGACACCAACTGTAATTGGTTGTGCAGAAGAGTTTGCCCCATTTGCATACACATATTGGCTTCTGTTGCTGAGGTATGACTTGAGGTAGTTGAGGGAGTGCCCTCTTATACCATAGTGTGACAATTTTACGTGGAGCAAGTCATGGTTAACTGTATCAAAAGCTTTACGTAAGTATAGTTATACCAACACTCTTATATGGATGTGAAGCATGGGTAGTGAATGTTGCAACAAGGAGAAGGCTGGAAGGAGTGATGTCATGTCTGAGGGCAATGTGTGGTGTGAATATAATGCAGAGAATTTGTAGTTTGGAAATTAGGAGTGATGGAGTGAATGATGATGAGAGTTCTTCTTTTTCGGGCCACCCTGCCTTGGTGGGAAACAGCCAATGTGTTAGCCCTTTCAGGGTCCAGAGGCCAAATTTCAAAGTGTTCACCAGGGTACAAGAATTTTCAAAAAATAATTTTGTTATTTTTTCTTATGAAATGGTAGAGAATCTTTTTCTGAAGGTAATAAAACAAAAACTAAAAATTTGATGGAAAATTAATGAAATTATGCTCTCGCAAATTTTGATGTGTCGGCGATATTTACGCATCAGCGATTTTGCTGACTTTGACTCCCATTTTAAGCCAATTACAGTTTTCCAGTCAACCAAATTCTTAGCTATTTCACTAGTATTTCTTCTATTCTATCGATTGAGAAGAAGAAATCGCCAAGTCAACTGTTTCAACAACAAAATAAAGTGACCGGAAATTAGTAATTTGGCCAATTTAACGCAAAGTTCAAAATATTCCAGTTTCAAAATAGGGACCAGAATAAACAATGCAGGCATTCCTGGCACTAAACTAACATTTCCTCTGTTCATTAGTTACATTTTCAGACTTTACAAATGAATTCCATTTTGATTTTTTATTATTTTGATTTTTTTTTTTATTATCACACTGGCCAATTCCCACCAAGGCAGGGTGGCCCAAAAAAGAAAAACTTTCACCATCATTCACTCCATCACTGTCTCGCCAGAAGGGTGCTTTACACTACAGTTTTTAAACTGCAACATTAACACCCCTCCTTCAGAGTGCAGGCACTGCACTTCCCATCTCCAGGACTCAAGTCCGGCCTGCCGGTTTCCCTGAACCCCTTCATAAATGTTACTTTGCTCACACTCCAACAGCACGTCAAGTACTAAAAACCATTTGTCTCCATTCACTCCTATCAAACACGCTCACGCATGCCTGCTGGAAGTCCAAGCCCCTCGCACACAAAACCTCCTTTATCCCCTCCCTCCAACCTTTCCTAGGCCGACCCCTACCCCGCCTTCCTTCCACTACAGACTGATACACTCTTGAAGTCTCACTGTTTCGCTCCATTCTCTCTACATGTCCAAACCACCTCAAGAACCCTTCCTCAGCCCTCTGGACAACAGTTTTGGTAATCCCGCACCTCCTCCTAACTTCCAAACTACGAATTCTCTGCATTATATTCACACCACACATTGCCCTCAGACGTGACATCTCCACTGCCTCCAG